CATTGCCTTCTGCATTCACGATGTGGCCTTCCCTCAAAATGTAGCCAGAGAAGGCTGCTTACTGATACGATAAGGTTTATTGTTTTAAATATAGCACATTGAGCCCACGGGGTCCATTCTTGTAAGCATTTAAGACAGATCTCCTCTTTTGTTTTCACACTGTAGGAACTGGGACTGTTTGTTGTTCTTTTAACAGCTTTTATATGGTCTATTTTAGCTCTTGCTTCAGAGTAGGAACTAAAAAAAGCACAATGGGGAACCTATGAGTGACGAAATGAAATCTGATTGGTCCAGTCATCATAACACATGTTTATTGGCAGAGCAAGCTCACCCCATTTAAAAAGGCCTTCACTGTAAACAGCTTGTTGTGTTGAAGGAAGACATTTTGCTTAAAATAAACCACAAGAGAAGGGAAGTGTAGGCTTTTATGAGCTGTATGTAACAGAAGAAATACATGATTTCTGAACAATTTAGGCACTATAAATAAAAAGAAAATGCACAGGAAGGAATAAAAAAACATGAAAAGCTTAGAGTGGATCAGATTGAAAGAACAGCAGATGGTACAGTTTATTGAACTCAGTTTTGCTGCAACAGCAAGTTTTTTTTTTCCTTCAGTAATACAGATAATTACAAGTGTCCAAACGTTTTTTTTTTTTTTACTCCAAACTGCAGCAAATGAAATGAAAGGTACAAATAAACTTTTTTTTTTTAATGTATTGATTGTCACAAAAACTCAGGATAAGTTTCCTACCATTTTCATCTTGTGCTTAGACCAATGCAATGCCTGAAAAATAGAGCACATTTTGTGTTGATTTAAACGTGTCTGATTTTGTTTTTTTAATGCAAAACTTGTTATTACACCTATATTATACTTTTCCTAATGATCTTTTTTTCAGTGCAAGACAATTGTAAGAAAAATATGCATTAAAGATAAAATTATTAACACCTTTTCCCTGTCTGCTACGCTTCCCTTTATCACTCTTTGAGGCTTAAAGTATAAACCGTTGCGTATGTTTAAGCACACTTGCACCTCTCTAATTTAAAAGCATGTTTTATAAATATGCATCTTTCCATCTGTGTGGTTGTCATTACACCCTCGACTCGAAGCAAACATGCAGTTAACGTTGTGTGCATAAGTAGCCACAATGACCATCGGCTACCCAGACAATCACAGTGTTTTCAAGGTGATGCAAAGACAAAATTCTTCTGGGTGCTTCACAGAGAAGCTTCTCAGTCCTTAAAACCCGAAGAGATCCTGCAAAACAGTTTGTTTCAAAAACACCAGAATAGCCGAGACAGCATGGGTCAGAACACCACAGACATCAGGCTGCAATTAAGTTATTGCATGAGAGCATTTTCCACAATTATCAACATATGTATGTCAGATGATAGTAACAAAAAGAGTTAGACATTTAGCGTTCATGTGATTGGATCATTCTGTTGGATTGGAGGGCAGTTTTCATTTATTTTTTGTGATACTGTTGGTTTTATGCAGCCATTGTTGGCATGTGTCGAGATGAATTTTACTGGACAGAAATTACCCTGTCCTGCCTGTAATTTCTACCCTGTGAGCACCAGCCTCTGCTCACATACACCAGCAGAAGATTATAATGCACACTGCACTCTTTTCTTGTGATGACTGTGCTTTGAATGCCCTCTAGATTTGGGCCATGCTTTGATGAGTCAGCCTGCCTGTGAGCTCTTGTCACAGCCTCGTCTGCCGTGGACGTCGGTGTCAGAAAAATCCTAAAGGTTAAAGTGCAGGCAGGTGTACGAGTGCCTGTTCATAAACAGTGGGTATATTTTTGTCTACTGACATGCAGTGTGAAGCTGTTCAGTGTGTCAAGTTGATTTTGTGGAATTCACAGCTCTAGCCTACTAAATAAAAATTGATTTGTAACTCTTCTAAAGCGCTGTCATATTTATTTGTTAGATTTATTGTTTCTTTGTGTCTATTCTTTATTTTTTCCCTTTTAAAAATCCACGTTCATTCCTGGTAGTAGCGCTGATGTGTTGGGAGTGCCACTAATGCTGTAATTCATGGTTAATGAGCTTTCTGGGAAATTGTTTATATTGTATGTACATACTGGGGGTTGTAATGGTACACAGAAATCACCATTTGGAACGTACCTTGGCTTAGACTTCATGGTCCAATGCATTTTTTTTATCCATTTAAGGGAAACAAACAAAAAAACAAACAAACAAAAATACACACACACACGGAGGGAAAATAAGTGATACACTGCCGATTTAGCAAATTTTCCCACGCACAAAGAATGGAAAGGTCTGTAATTTTTATCTTGAGTACACTTCAACTGTGAGATACAGAATCTAAGAAAAATAAATAAATCAGAAAATCACATTATATGATTTTTTAAATTAGCATTTCATTGCTTGAAATAAATATTTGATCACCTACCAACCAGCAAGAATTCTGGCTCTCACAGACCTGTTAGTTTTTCTTTAAGAAGTCCTCCTATTCTTCACTCTTTACCTGTAATAACTGCACCTGTTTGAACTTGTTACCTGTATAAAAGATACATACGCACATACTCAATCAATCACATTCCAACCTCTCTACAATGGCTAAGACCAAAGAGCTGTCCAAGGACACCAGGGACCAATTTGTAGACCTGCACAAGGCTGGGGTGGGGTGGGGTGGGGTACAGGTCAGGCAAGCAGCTTAGTGAGAAGGTAACAACTGTTGGCACAATTATTAGAAAATGGAAGAAACACAAGATGACTGCTAATCTTACTCAATCTGGGGCTCCATGGAAGATCTCACCTCGTGGGGTAAGGATGATTCTGAGAAAGGTCAAGAATCAGCCCAGAACTACATGGGAGGACCTGGTTAATGACCTGAAGAGAGTTGGGACCAGTCTCAAAGGGGTCTAACACACTACGCCGTCATGGTTTAAGATCTTGCAGGGCATGCAAGGTTCTCCTGCTCACGCCACACATGCCTAGGCCCATTTTGAAGTTCACCAGTAGCCATCTGGATGATCTAGAGGAGACATGGGAGAAGGTCTTGTGGTCAGATGAGGCCAAAATAGAGCTTTTTGACATCAACTCCTCACCGTGTTTGGAGGAAGAAGAAGGATGAGAACACAATCCCAACCATGAAGCATGGGGGTGGAAACATAATTTGGGGGTGCTTTTCTGCAAAGGAGATGAAATGAGTGCACCGTATTGAAGGGAGGATGGATGGGGGTCATGTATTGTGAGATCTTGGACAACAATCTCCTAAGAAGATGGGTCGTGGCTAACAATGACCCAAAACACACAGCCAGGACAACTAAGGAGTGGCTCTGAAAGAAGCATTGCAAGGTCCTGGAGTGGCCAAGCCAGTCTCCAGACCTGAATTCAATAGAAAATCTTTGGAGGGAGCTGAAACTCAGTGTTGCCCAGTGACAGACCTGAAACCTGAAAGATCTGGAGAAGATCCGTCTGGAGGAGTGGACCAAAATCCCTGCTGCAGTGTGCAAACCTGGTCAAGAACTACAGGAAACGTCTGACCTCTGTAACTGCAAACAAAAGTTTTTGTACCAAAAATTAAGTTCTGTTTTTCTATTGTATCAAATACTTCTTTAATAAAATGCAAATTAATTATTTAAAAATCATACAGTTTGATTTTCTGGATAATTTTTTCTTAGATTTTGTCTCGGTTGAAATTACACACCTCTCCATTCTTTGTGTGTGTGTGTGTGGGGGGGGGGGGGGGGGGACTTAATCAGCAGTGTATCAAACACTTATTTTCCTCACTGTGTGTTTGTGTGTGTATATATATATGTATATATATATATATATATATCACGTTTAAATCAAGGTTGCGTTCGTGTCTGTGCCTAATTGATAAGCTTATACCAGATGTTTTCTATACATAGATGTATACGTTTATATTCCTGCTATGTACCGGGTTTTTGGCACCACAAAAGAGTTTACAGGTGCTTGGTCTAGGTCTTATTAAAAAATCACATGTGTTTTGTCAGTAAAAACAAACCACTTAAGCATTGGTGGTTTTATTTTGGAACAAACTGTTTAAATAGCTAATACTGTATCAGAAATCCAAAGAAAATTACAAATAAATCTAAACATTTTCAAGTCTTTTTGGCAGCATTGTATATCATTTATGTAAACACATTGTATTGTATTTTTCATGCACTGTGTATTTCAGAAATACTGTAATATGACACTTGTGCGGCACAGACCTCACAGCACTTTGCTGAAGTCAGTAGACATTAGGTACTAGACAAATAGAAAAGACACGTTATAGCAGTTTTTAGCACCATGATATGATTATTTTCATATATGCACACTCAGGGTTTTGGAAAATGAGGAATAGTTTGCATTATTCTCCATTGTTCTTATAAAATAACATGCAGTATTGTTTTGTCTCTGATTTTCACTGTCAAAGTGCTGTTTAAATATTGTGACACTGTCAGATTGATCTGTCCACATTCTTTTGAAGTTTACGCACAACCTTTGAGATGGGTGTGGTGGGTTTGTTTTGCACGTGCATTTTGTAGTCACCTTTCCCTTTATCATACTTCTGAGGAAAACTACTTCTGTTTCTGACAAAACTGCCAATGAAAAGTCTTAAAGTAATTCAATTCATGAAACACCTTACTTGTGCTTTGAGCTACTTAAATAAAAGATAACATTGTTTTGATAATGGGAAGTATTAAAAATGAAACGGCAGCAAGCTGACAATTGCTTCATTTTTAAAATTTTGTTATACACATTCATTATCTTGCCCAAGTAGACTTTGTCATGCTTCAGGATCTGGGGGTCGAACCCTCAACCTTCCAGTTGGAAGATTTACCACCCTACTCAGGTTGCCAAGCTGCCACAACAAAAACAAAACTCATTGCCAGGCAAAAGAGTGCACAAAGAAATTCTGTATTTATATGATATATCCAGTTTATTGTATTGAAATTATTCAATTTTAGGAGAAACATTTTACACCGCTTATCGTATTTTGTGTGTCTGTGTTTCTGCAGAGGGAATTCCTCAGGTGTACTACTTTGGTCCTTGTGGGAAATACAACGCCATGGTGCTGGAGCTGCTTGGACCCAGTTTAGAGGACCTGTTTGATTTGTGTGACCGCACCTTCTCCCTCAAGACTGTCCTCATGATAGCCATACAGCTGGTAAGATCTGGGAGAGAGGAGCAGCTTGAGTATTAATGAATAAACTTGCTGCGTCCTTTTGTAGGAAATACAATGAATCTTTGAAGAGATTTTTATTGTCAAAAGGCTGAAACCAAAGGCTTATTCTAAAGGACAAATAAAAAAAACTCCAAGGTAGTTCAGGAAGTCAAAAACACAATTCTTAAGCTTTTTTTTAACTTCAAACCAACATGCTTATTGATCAACTATAAACAGTGTTTCTATTTTTTTTTATCTAGTAGAGTTTGAAATATTCATGTGAAGCAATGGACATTTATCTTTTGAAAACACTGCAGTGAAGTCAAGAGTCAATTGTTCCAACATATAGTTCACTCATTCATCATTTACCAGACCTGAATTTTCTTAATGGACGTTAAAGCGCTGGCTTCTGACAGTATTATCAAATATTTATTATATTTATACAGCAATAAACTGGCAGGTACAAGCAGCAGATGTTGAAGACAATATATACCACAACAGGTAAAACCTGATTTTATTTATAGACCTGCACACTCAGTCAGATCTGGCCAAAATTAGTTTGATCATCTATAGTTGGTTGAGGTTAACTCCCAGTTTTTAGGTTGTATTAAATACAAAATTAAAACAAGTTTGTTAGTTTAGGGACGTTGCTCAAAGAGGTGAAACAAAAGTTGCTCAAACTGAAGGGATGAGAATTTAAATAATTCCTGAGTAATTCAAAGTGCGTTTTTCCTTAAAATGCCCATTCCTGATACAGGCAGAAAAGATGTTTGAAAAAGCAAATTACTGTAATTTCTTGACTATAAGCCACAACTTTTTTCACAGACTTTGAACACAGTGGCTTTTATACAATGCTGCAGCTAATTTATGGATTTTTTTTTTTTTTTTTGATGGGCTAATAAGCTTCATACCGCTAAAATATTTAGCCTTGTCACGCCCGGGCGCTCACATAGATGCCCAATACACATCTCTTGAGGTGTTGGTCCTCATGACTCAATGAGACTACCTGTATAAATAAAGCTTAAAAAAAATCTGACCAATGAAATTATAGAACAGGTCAGGTCAAGCTTGGTTTCATTGGTCAACTGGGAAGGGAGGGAAACTTTGTTCCCCCCTTCCCGTTGTGCTCCCAGGGACACAATGCGCTGGGCGTTGTGGGCACAAGAAAGTATTTGCAGCCACTTGAAATAAGTGGGAATCATGCATTTAAAATGGCACTCCAAGCTCAAGAGTGCAGTGTGCAGGAGGAAGATGAGGCTACTGAACTTTTATTTTTAACCAGCCATGTTACCTGCACTGTTGGAAAAAAAAACATTTATGGTACGTATTTAATTAAAAGTTTAAAAATCTTTGTGTAAATATCTCATGTTACAACATCAACACCCGCGGCTTATAGACAAGTACAGACTATGTATATATGTCGATTTTTTTATTTATTTTTTATTTAGTGGGGACGGCTTATATTTATGTTATTGTGTGCTCCATAGTCTGGAAATTAATGTAACATGAAACTATGAACATGACCTCTTCTGTGTTTAGTTCATGTTATTTTGTAGATCTTCCCAGAATAAAAGAACACCTAAATGGCATTTACGATGTTGCTTGCTAATCAGTAATCTTTGTCATACACAACTTTAGTTGGTTTGTAGGTGACAATATAAAAGAAGGGCAAAATAAAATGGTGGAAAAAAACCTCAACTTCTTGTACTTGAAGTACTTCACAGCTTCAGATCTGCCTGACATTTAAGCACTAACTCTCCCCCACGTGTTGCTTCTCTAGATAACACGGATGGAGTACGTTCACACCAAGAGCCTCATATACAGAGATGTGAAACCTGAAAACTTTCTTGTTGGGAGGCCTGGAAGCAAGAGGCAGAACACCATCCACATCATCGACTTTGGTCTGGCCAAAGAATATATAGACCCTGAGACCGAAAAACACATCCCCTACCGGGAGCACAAGAGTCTGACTGGAACGGCGCGCTACATGAGCATTAACACACACCTGGGGAAAGGTGAGTCTTCAAAACAAAACCGTTAGTTAGTTTTGTTTGGATAAACATTAATGGAGGTACATTACTGGGTTGAAAACAAATACATTCCCAATATGAAATCGGATAAAACTGTGTTTTCAAACTGCAAACCCTAAATTGATAATATTATTTAATTTTCAGAGCAAAGCAGAAGGGATGATCTGGAGGCGCTGGGTCACATGTTTATGTATTTCCTCAGAGGAAGCCTCCCGTGGCAGGGCTTAAAGGTACTGTAGTGTATTTTGTAGTGCACTTAAACGTTAGCCTGTTTTGAAATAAATTTGTCTTGGTTAACAGTTTTATTTTTGCACTTCAATATTCTTAAAGACTTAAACGTTGGGATTTTTTTTTTCTTCTTGTGATCAGTTGAGGATTTCCCACTCTTGGTTTTTTTTTTTAACTAATTTATTTTAATCATTAATTAATAGTTTTGTTTTTATTCTGTAGATACTTTGTCAGCAAGCATGTTATCAGTTTATCAGTATTACATGACTCCTAACTACCCATAGTTTAGAAAAATTAATAAATAGTTTTTAGCTTAAAGTCTCTCGTTTATGATGGTTGATGGCAGCAAACTGTACACAAGACAACATAATATATTTTTATATTCCCTCTTTAAAATCACATTCGATTTAATTTCAAATGCGCTTCAGGAATCGTTTGTTTACTCTGATTTTATGAACGCATTCAGAATACATTAAAGTGAAGTGAAATTATTCTCATCTATCAGTTGTTTGTGACCAGAATCCACTGATTTTCAGCTTGAACTGTGTCAGACAGCCGGGGATTTTTTTTTATTTTTCTTGCTCAGCTGAACTTTTTGTGCACTTAGTTCACTCCAGCACAGCACGTCTTTGTTTTTGGACATTTTTACCTATTTGGAATATGTGCTGTACACAGCGACAAGTTTCTGTTTCACTTCTCGTCATGAGTGTGATGATGTGTGTCCTGAAAAATCTGTGTAAACAAGCCATTATTTGTTGTTTTTATAATTCGTTTGTACGAATATATCTGCAGTAGCACAGTGTCTTAACTTCCAACAGTTGGGAGACAATAATTTTCATGTTTTATTAGAACACAATAAATATTTAAATCCAGATAAGGATTAAAAAAATTAACATGCTAAAGCTTCAGAGAGTAACTGCAAATGTTGGAATGGAAATTTCTAAGAAAATTTTGGAAAATGGCAGTCGTTACAGCTCTAATAATTGTTCTACCGGAGTTGTGACTCATCTAATTTTCTCTTGTTACATAATCGCATACAAACTTCCACAGCCGAGTTATATTTTAATAGCTGAAAGAGCCTGGAGCGCTTTAAAAGGCCGCAAAGACAGGTGCCTGGATGGCCGGTCATAGCAAGCTTTCTGAAGGCATCGATATCAAAGAACAGTCGAGAAGAAAAGACATCTGAACAGTTGCTGTGTGGGTGGAAGCTCTCGGTAGATGATTGTGAGGGATGTAGTGTGGGGGACATCGCACGGCTCGAGCCAAAGCAAGCCTTTGTGCTGTTATACGTTCAACTACTCGGAACAGCAAAAGATTTAAGGAAACAATATAGTGACATAAAGACGACGCTCTGTAAAATGACACTTTCATACCATCATTTTTATACAACAGGAAGTTTAAATCTGTATTCCCAGCAAAGTTACGCTTGTATCAAGGTTGTCTGTATGAGAGTGCCTGCAATTTAATATGAATATTTTTATAGTTTGTGGCATTCTTTTAAATTCTTTCAACATAACCTGATTTCTTTCCCCATCCCTTCTTAAATAAAGTGTTAAATTACAGAGGTTCCCAAACTTTTCCATGCCTTGGCCCCCAAACAGCATTAGCTTCTGGCCAAGGCCCCCCTCGCAAACCCACATACAATGCAACAAAATATGTAAAAAACATCAACTTTAAGAATGTTTTAACTTTTATTCACTATATTCAATTCATTATTACAGCTGCTAAGCACAAAAATGTTATTAACTAACATGTTTTATGTATTATATATTATATTCCCACTGAAAAAACAACTTTTCAATAAACTGTTGACCAGAAGAACAAAACAAAAGAAATCTAACCTCTCTCTAAAGTGTGTTTATCTGGAAATGACAGATACAGATTGCCCTAGTGGGCAATTTTTATTATTATTATTATTATTACTATATTTTTATTTTTATTTTTTTTATTTATCTTTTTCTGTCCAGCTTTCTGAGGCCCCCACTTTGAAAAACACTGTGTTAAAATGTCTTTCTTTTATCTGAAGTAAATTGGAAGAATGCTGTGGTCTACATGTCAGTAAAGTAACTCGGCTGGATAAATTGCATCTATTTGCAAACCAAGGCCCCCGAGTAAAACATAATTACGTCTGTTAATTTGTACTGCGCATCCTGTTGATTGGAGGTTGAACTATTTTTGTAACTTTCTTCCTCTCTAGGCTGACACTTTGAAAGAGAGATACCAAAAGATTGGAGACACCAAGCGAGCAACGCCTATTGAAGTACTTTGTGAAAGCTTTCCTGGTCAGTAGAAGCAATCGGTTATATACATTTTAAATTTTTTTTTAATTTAGTCTCATTTGACATTTTTGTTCTTTTTTGTGACAGAAGAGATGGCCACTTACCTGCGCTATGTGAGGAGGCTGGACTTCTTTGAGAAGCCAGATTATGATTATTTGAGGAAGCTTTTTACCGATCTGTTTGACAGGAACGGCTACATCTTTGACTACGAGTATGACTGGGTCGGCAAGTCTCTGGTGAGAGCGCCTCGCTGACACGTTTTACCCTCGCACTTCTGCTTGGATCTTTAGATGTCACGGCTAGAGTTGATTTATTGTTGTCAAGAGTGAATATTTTATTTGTTGTTCTCTGCTTCTCACAGCCCACACCGATAGGCCCTATCTCTAGTGACACCCCTTTGCAGCCCAAAGTACCACAGCCGAAAAACCAGGTGAGCTCATTAACTTCAACCACACCCACTGACTGACCGTTTAGCCAACCCAGTCATTCGAGTTTCTCTACCAGACCAGTTTTTAGTGTTCCACTGTGCAAACCTTCCTGGAAAGAAACTGCTGCCATTTCCTGTTCCTGTTGTAAGCAATCTCAGCTCTCGTCAAAGTTTTCTGTCCGAACCGTTCCTCCCAACGCCACCCTTTTAAAAAATAAATCTCTGACATGCGCGGTCGAGAAGGTGCCTCTTCTGCCCCAGCTGGAAAACAAAGAAACATTTATGACCTAATATAATTTTTGACACCTTGCCACTCTAAGCGCCAGTCATTGCGTGCATGAGTTGAAAATGCACATTGCATTGTTCATACCAGTGATGACGAGCTACATGCTTAGTGTGTGTCAAAATGTACTTTTTTTTTTTTTTTAAAGCATGCTATCCGAGCCTTGTTTTGTGTAGGAAGAGTAATTTCTTGTTAACGTTAATTCTTCCTGATTGACAGAAATAATAATCCAGATAAGGCTCTTGTCCTGACTCATCATTTCCAGTAAAGCTGTAGAGGGAGGGCATTTTCATTTTATGACAGACTTATTGCAGTGGACTCTAGCCTTTTTTTTACTGCTCTCCATTTAATGTGATTGGCTTGGTAACAACTTTCCATCATTTAATGCTTCCAAAGCACCTCCTTAGGTACCAGGTGCGTTGGTCATGACATCCTGGTAAAGCATCCTTTGACAAGAAAAGTACCTGCTATCTGATGTAAAACAGTAAATGTTGTCTGTAAATGGAAGACACGAACAATTTCCAAACACCTGAACAGATATGTTTCTGTTTTAACGAGATAATCAAGGCTGTTTCCTTTTTCTTCTGCATGACTTTATTAGTGTGTTGATTTGTGCTTCACATAGATTTTTGCTTCCCTTTACTCCTTTATTAACATAGTTTGTCTTAACAAGCCTGCTTCCGCTTGGGAGATGTCTTCTATAATTTTTTGTTTCTTTTTTTTTATTCACTCCCCCCTCTTCCTTGTTGCCTCTTCCACTCTTTCCTTCACCAAATTCACCTCTGACCCTTCACCTCACCTGCATCCTCCACCCTCCCCTCCATCTTCAACCCTCTCCCTGTTTTCATCACTTCCTGCCCATCTGCCTCAAACCCCTTTGTTTGCTCTTTGTGTCAAGTCACCTGAGCCCAAAGGAAGTGAGTCTCAGCCCACTCCCGTGACCAATAAGGAGACTCTGGGGTCGCACCTCACAGCTGAGCGGCTGGGGGGCTCTGTTCAGGTACCACTGCTGCTTCTGCTGCTGCTCTGATGGCTAATGCATGATTCCATGTGAATTTTGTGGTCGACCCTTCCTCTTCACCGACTTCACATCGCCTGCCTATCTTTTGACGCAGTCCGCTTTGGTTTCTTGTGCGTTTGCATCTTTGAGTGTTTGTCAGAGCTCTGCATGTCGCTTGTCTGCTTGTAGGCTGCCTACAGTGAAGGCCGTGCAAAGACGTTCAGCAGTATGCAAAATTTAATTTTTTATTACTAGAAAAACACAAACTGAAATGCCACAAGCAGCTGAGTAAGTTTTGTTGCTGTAGTATTTATATTAGTCTGCTTTTAAGCACTTTAATGTCAGACATCCTGAGAAGTCAGTCAGAAGTAAAATAAAATAAAGTGGAGCGACCCCGCCCCCTGTCGTCAGCTCGTAGAACTGCAGCTTTTAAATTGCAGATTGTGTTTTTTTAAGCCCAAAACAGGTTTTCCTTGTTGTTCCTCTTGCTCTAACCAGTATTTTATTTTTTCAATTAGGTTTGTACTTTTTAAAATTTTTTTTATTAGTCTTAATAATATTTTCCATAAACAGTACTTATGTGGTGATAATATCTTTTTGAGCACAAAAACAAAAAGTTTGCTATTAAAAGTTTATATATATATATATAAGTTTCAGAGAGAATGAACTGGAGGAATCACTGCAGCAAGTAAAACCTTGATCATATTTAGGCCTAACTTGTTTTGTTTTTTTAGAAAAAACATATGTTGCCCTTAAATTATCTACAGTATGATGTTACCTTTAGGTGACTCAGTCCAAGCTGGATAATAATCCTCTCTCATTCTCTGAGAGTTGTTTTTTTTTTTGGTCTGGATCTATTCACATATTTGCAGATTTTTCATGTGAAAGCACATCTCAGCTCAAGAGTGTCAGTGTTTGAGCAGTGTTGGTTTTCTTTAACCGTACAGGTGATACCCTCGACAAATGGCGAGCTGAACACAGACGATCCCACAGCCGGACACTCCAATGCTCCCATTACCGCTCCCACCGAGGTTGAAGTGGCCGACGAACCCAAGTACGAACCAAAATAAAGTCCCATTTACACATAAAACAGCATCCAGTCCAATAGGACAGTAGTTAATAAGAACTCAATGTGTTTGCAGTACAAAGTAACTCTCAGTAGGTTTAACTTTTTATTTCAGATTTAAGTTTAATTTGATTTTGACTAATAAGAACTCATCTACAAACAAAAAGTGATTTGTAATTGTATTATGCCAAACCTTTAGCCACATTTTTTAATGTTAGGAAAACTGTAAATTAACGTGATTAACTGAAACATGCAAAAATAAAGTAAAATACTGCTATGAAACAGTAGGTTGAAAGGGCAGACATAACTGAAATGAAACAAATAAAATTAAAGGTTGGCAGAAATTCTAAAATTGGGAAACTTATCAAAGACTCGTTGAATTGGACTGCTGTTTCTATGTTGACGCACCATGATTACCAGCGAATGATGAGAGTTGTTTGTCTTATCGAGTCCTAGTTCGGTTCAGCTCCTATGGTCGATACCAGGCAGGTTTCGTGGCCAGGTCTGGTAGGTGATCTCGGAAACGGATAATCCCCCGAGGGTACCTGTGTCAGCTGTTGGAGACAGGGTGCTTCTCTGGTTGGTGCTCGTCTGGCTCTGTGTGGTCTCAGAGGTTCTGGAGCGGTCCAGTTCTTCAAGGAGGGGAATATGCTCACAACGCCTGAGTTTAGCTCAAAGTTCTGATTGGCTTTACAGTTGTCCCTCGCTCTATCGTAGCGTATCTGCAGGTAGCAGGTGCACGAGCCAGCCGGCAAAGATTCCTGACGTTTGCCGTCTGGGAATGCTTTCCCGCCTCCAGTGTGCGCAAGAATCCCACTCCAAATAGAGGGATGAATGTACGGATTTAATCCAGCAACGTCTCCAATGATGCAGACAGTTGCTAATTTGAAAGTGGAAGAAACCAGAGTTGTTGCCAGATGACATCATATCCTTTGATTCTCGCCAAATATCCTCCCCACTTTCCACGTCTCCGAGGTTGACAAGCACAGAGCACACAGATAGTCCATTCTGTGTGACAGATGAGGAGGTAATCTTGATGAATAATTTCCAAAACTAGATACCGGCAACTTAACATGATGGAGGCTGAGAAGAGTTGTGCAATCATAGACAAGCAGAGCAGAAAATATCAAAAGGCAAACAAAAAGCAAAAAGCAGGCAGAGTAAACGTGGCAGACAGCTAGCTGTGACTGGTGCCATCTTGAATGCACCCCATTCTCTGATAAGATCACCAGAGACCTCATTATTCTCCAGAAACTATAGGCTTTCCATGGGTTTAAATGTGTGTCCTATGTATGTGAATAGTGTGGCTGCTTTAGGATAAATCTTGGGGTTAACAGATTTTAGATGAAGTAGGACACTACAGGTGGATGGGTCCACTGAAGAGCCAGAACCATCTCACAGGTTCGGTCATGCCTGGACTAGACTGAAAACAAGTAACAAAGCAAAAACAATTCATCCATCCATTATCTTTTACCCGCTTCTTCCATTTTGGGTCACTGGGGTCGCCGGTGCCCATGTCCGGCAATCACTGTGCAAGGGGCGGGGTAAAAACAATTCAGTTCATTTATAAAGCGCCAAGTCACAACAGAAGTCATCTCAGGGCACTGAACAGAAACTTTCATATATATATA